CAAGGTTTGCCTGGTCCCAGGTCCCGGGACGCGGGTCTCAACAACATTACCGCGTTTTAACCCCAAGGTTTGCCTGGTCCCAGGTCCCGGGATGCGGGTCTCAACAACATTACCGCGTTTTAACACCAAGGTCCCTCTGGTCCCAGGTCTCAGGACGCGGGTCTCAACAACATTACCGCGTTTTAACACCAAGGTTTGCCTGGTCTCAGGTCCCGGGACGCGGGTCTCAACAACATTACCGCGTTTTAACATCAAGGTTTGCCTGGTCCCAGGTCCCGGGACGCGGGTCTCAACAACAAGGCCAACGAGCTGCAGGAGGACATTTGCTTGAAGCTCTTCGACGTGAGACTCGCGCAACTGCAGCTTGCGGCGGTCACTGCACAGGTGCGTCCTGTGCGGAGGTGTGCTGTGCAGAGGGGTACTGTGCAGAGGGATGCTGATTCGATGGATGCCGTGCAGAGAAGTTTTGTATAGAGGAGTGCTAGGCTGAGGGGTGCAGTGCATAGGTGTACTATGCAGAGGTGTGCTGTGCAGAGGGGTGCTGTGCAGAGGGGTGCTGTGCAGAGGGGTGCTGTGCAGAGGGGTGCTGTGCGGAGGGGTGCTGTGCAGAGGGGTGCTGTGCAGAGGGGTGCTGTGCAGAGGGATGCAGTGCAGATGAGTGCTCTGCAGAAAGTGCTGTGCAGAGAAGTGCTGTATAGAGGAGTGCTAGCTTGAGGGGCGCCGTGCATAGGTGTACTATGCAGAGGTGTGCCGTGCAGAGGAGTGCAGTGCACAGGAGTGCTGTGCAGAGGAGGAGTGCTGTGTGCCTTTAAAACCGAAATCTCCGTTCCTAAAGGCCAAAGATAGCATCCGTCAATGCTGAATGCGCTTTCTTTAAGGCCTGAAACTCTATTTCAACGTCTAGAAGTAGCGTGTTTCAAGTTATAGGCTGCATTCTCTGCGAACGTAAGCAGCATTCTGCAAGACCACAAACCAATTATATTAAGGTTGCAAGTTTATTTTTCCAGGGCTGCATTAAGTCATTACGTTTGCGTTTACTCAGCGCTCTTTAAGGCGGCATTAAGAAGCTGTTAAGAAGCTACCAACCCCTGATTGTTCTCGTTAATCCTAATTAGCGAGCGGCAGGAAGCAATCGACGCTAACGACCTCAGTTGGCAGGGCGGGAAGTTTTCAACTTCCTGAGACCTGCCATCGTCGCTCTGTAACGTGGCTCCGTAATGCGGTTCCGTAAAACGACTCCGTAACATTGCTCCGTAATGCGGTTCCGTAAAACGACTTCGTAACAATGCTCCGTAATGCGGTTCCGTAAAGCGACTCTGTAACGTGGCTCCTTAATGCTGTTCCGTAAAACGACTCCCTAACATTGCTCCTTAATGCTGTTCCATAAAGCGACTCCGTAACATTGCTCCGTAATGCTGTTCCGTAAAGCGACTCCGTAACATTGCTCCGTAATGCGGTTCTGTAAAGCGACTCTGTAACGTGGCTTCGTAATGCGGTTCCGTAAAACGACTCCGTAACATTGCTCCGTAACGTGGTTCCGTAACGCGGCTCTGTAACAAGGCTCTGTAACGAAACTGCAACTTTTGTCGTGTCATTGGTTGGTTATAATATTTCATTGGCCATCGTGTGCTCGTAAATCTCAAAATAAATTAATTACGTGGGCTTCTGACCTCCGATGAACGAAGTGCTTCATGTACGAAGTGTCCCGAGGTACGAAGTGTCCCGAGGTACGAAGTGTCCCGAGGTACGAAGTGTCCCGAGGTACGAAGTGTCCCGAGGTACGAAGTGTCCCGAGGTACGAAGTGTCCCGAGGCACGAAGTGTCCCGAGGCACGAAGTGTCCCGAGGCACGAAGTGTCCCGAGGCACGAAGTGTCCCGAGGCACGAAGTGTCCCGAGGCACGAAGTGTCCCTAGGCACGAAGTGTTCCGAGGTACAAAGCATCCCGAGGAAGATAAAAGGACAAGCATTCGTGTACAATTTAAGTTATTTGGTTATTTTTTATCCAAAGAAGAGTAAACAAGAGCAAAGTAAGTGGGAAAGAGGTTGTAATGAGAGTTTCATAGAGAGATAAAAGCGTAGCACAGAGAGAGCACGAGAGAAATAAGTTCAAGAGAGAAGAAGGAGCTTTGTTGTTGATGCATCAGTAGCGCGCAAGATGTGAGGTGGGGTGCACGTGCGTCGCTGCTGCTGAGATGCGGGCACTTCAGCAGCTGCTGATACAGACACACTTGTGTTGTGTGGGAAGAGTTGTGGAAAGAGGAAGACACTTTTATCATCAGCTGACTAATCTTTCTAATGTAACTAATATTCAAAAGTCCATCCGATGAATTTTAAATCCCGAATAATCATAATTAGCGTAAAATATTGACAAATTTATTGACTTCTCATGAGGGTCGGCATCTCAGGGACGGAAGCTTTGATAAGCGTCGGTCAGGCCACTGCTTACTGCGAATGTAGCGCTAGAAATAGCTCCTCTTGCGCTCTTTCTCTTTATGAAGAATCACATTCATTCATACATAATTATAATCGAACGAATGACGCTATTTTAGGCTCGATCTTCATCTGCTATTAATGTTAATGAGTTAATTAATTTTATTCGTAATATTAGGCAAAATTCATCAATTTTTATTGGTGAACATATTAAATCACATCAAAATTCATTAATTAATTTCAAAATTCATTTCATTTAAAGATTTCTTGCCATCATAGTCTTTCTAGATAGCAAGATATCTAAGTTCTCTCTATGAGATATTCTAGCACTAAAGTCTCCCCTAATAGTAATTTGAATTCTGGTTGTAACATCCGTGGAGTTTCTCTGCACTTGCAATCGATAGACACGATCGATGATCAGCAATATTCGCATATCAATTTTTTTATTGGCACCCTAAATTTTATTTTCATCTAATATTTTCATTTGTGAAAACAACGTGTATTTTCGATTAACTAAAGTTATTGAAGATTACTTCAAGCGATTGATCGAAAGCAGATTAGTTTGATCGCAGGTGGTTTGACTTAAACTAATACAAGGTACACTAATGATACTGACGAATACCATGCAACAATAACAACGTGCGACAATTATAAATATATTAACATTAACAGTACTTGACACCAGTGAAGCCTTGTTATATTGGAACGTTAGTATTGCTTTCTTTAGGAATTATGCGTGAGTGTAATGAAATCTATTCACTCCAACTGTGAAGCAAGGCTAGTACGTGCGCTGCTGGGGCTGCTGTGTAAAGTTAGTACAGTGTTGAAGCACATTCAATTATTATAGTGTAAACAGTGTACTACACAGTGCAGTTGGCGTGCACACAAAGTGTGAGCTGTGCACACGGTGCAGGTAATGTGCACACAAAGCACAAGCTGTACACATCGTGCAGGTAATGTGCAAACTCAGTGTAGACAGTGCACATTATACGGATATTGTGCACAACAAGTGCACGGTGCAGGCCCGAAGCAAGAGTTTTAGTTAATTTAAGTAGCATGTTCAACATATGCCTTATATTTAAATGTCGTACCCTTATTTACATGGCTGGTGTTTAGGTTCATCAACATCCTGCTCTGCATTTACTTCACGTGCCTGTTTTCCAATTGCAAATCAAAAATCATGTTTATATATCACATATAATGCATATCATCGCAGAGATTGTTTGTCACTGTAGCGAACATGTTAGTATAAACCATTGTTTATTGGCAATATATGCAAACGGTTAAATTCAATGGGAATAAAACTATTTGAAATATACTTATCGCACAACACGTACAACAAGCTTTACCGATCGAATTCTTCCAGAACGAAGAAGAAACTCCATAAATTCGTATACCTTTTTTTTATACAAGTTTCTGTGTAAAGTTGCAAGTATTATTGAGCCACGGACAAAACTTGGATAACCTGTTTGTTTATATTTATATATACTCGAATTTGTAATAACAGTTCATAGCAGGTCTGGGACTTCAAATATATAGAGGCTGTTGGGGCGCGAATCCAAGATATTTATCGTTTCGGGATTTTACTTCTACCTTTTGTTTTTTTGGTACATTGAATTATTATTAATTTGTAAATGATTTAGATTTATTTCTAGTGGCAAACTGTAACTTGAGTGAGAGTTCTGTAGTGAATGTTGACTGCAACTGATAATCTCTAAACCACGTACGTTCGTTTCAAATTATTAACTGAAGAAGAGATGACGGGATTCGGGACGATGGATTTCGAAATGACAGAATTTGGGATGACTGAGTTCTGAATAACTGGTTTCTTTAATTGTACAGACTCTACGCAATGCCGAGTTTACTTGCTGGTAATAATAAATAATGATATAAGGAAACTATAAGTAAACTGGTTATAATAAATAGATTTGACAAAACAAAAATGCGACATGCAAATAGGGCCACTGCAGTAGAGTGGAGTGAGGTAGACGCAACAACTCTCTATAAATGTACAGTAATTTTGCCAATGAAAAAATCATGGACTATGTGTATATATTTCATGTAAAGTCCCACTGATTTTCATTTTCCAACAAAAAATTTTATAATCCTCTCTTTGTTTCCAGAAGATCAAATATTGTGCTCTAGAAATTAAAGAAAATTTATGAGGTCATCTAAGTTTATGAAGACATGAGCTTTCGTCACCAAGGTGCCAACTTTCTGTTTAGACTGTACAAACGAACTTGTAGCTCTTCCTTCGCTCTAGCGTAGCTCATCTAGTTCACTATGTATTCTAGATTCGTGATTCTTAGCTTGAAAATTAGAACAAAATTAAATCTAAACTCTGTGTATATCCTTGGGTGTCTTAAAACTGAGAGTCTTGCCTAGAATTTTTTCTATGGTAGTCACCATAATTTTTTTATCGGGCATTAAATTAACGAAAAATTAACACCTATCAGTTGATTTAACGCACGTATGTGCATGAATGCGTATTTTCTAAGAAACTCATTACTATTCGACTATTCGAGGCTCAAATCATGACAGAAATTTTGTTATCACTTGTCTGGCAGTTTGTTATCACGTGTCTGTCAGTTTGTCATCACATGTCTGTCAGTTTGTCATCACTTGTCTGGCAGTTCGTTATCACTTTTCCGTCAGTTTGTCATCACATGTCTGTCATCACATGTCTGTCATCACATGTCTGGCATCACATGTCTGTCATCACATGTCTGTCATCACATGTCTGTCATCACATGTCTGTCATCACATTTCTGTCATCACATGTCTGTCATCACATGTCTGTCATCACATGTCTGTCATCACATGTCTCATCACATGTCTGTCATCTCATATATGTCATCACTTGTCAGTCATCACATGTCTGTCATCACATGTCTGTCATCACATGTTTGTCATCACATGTCTCTTCACATGTCTGTCATCTCATATATGTCAT